GCGGCGTTTCACAGGAGTTGGATGGCAGGGGAGCTTTCGGGAGCGAAAACTGGGGATCTGCGCCTTGCGGGAGGAGAAGCGCTGTCGGGAGGGCGGAGGGGTTAGGGCCGGGGTCACAGGATGCGCATATATGTTGTGATTAACATTCACGTCATCGGAATTACGAGACCTTGGAGGGTATTAAACCCTCCCCCTTTTTTCCCCCCTTTCGATAGATGCTGTCTGCTCTGTACACGGGAAAAACAAAACCCTCTAGCAGGTGACAGCGTTCCCCTTTCTGCCTTCCACTCCTGGAAACTTCGTCACGCGAAATGCGAGAGGCAAATAAGCTTTTTCTTTTTCTCGGTGTAAGTCCCGTGCAGTTGCCAGTATTTTGCTTCTTGCCTGAAGGACGTAGCCAGATTTTTGTATGTAATAGTCTTTTGGTAGCATTGTCAAAGGTGAATTCACTTTCAGTTCATTGGGGTTTTAAGACGTGGAGATGGTACCCGCTGGCATGCCTCGCCGGTTGGCACTTGCTGATTTTGCAGAAGGAACTCCATCACAACTCCATCACTCCGATGGAGTTCCAGTGACGGAGGCACTGTTCAACTCCACGGGTACAGAGCGAGTGGGAGGCGTGCTCGACTTTTGACTTGGTGAATCAAGGGCATTTTCCAGCGTTTCCTCTTTAAACTTTGGTCACTTCCAAAGCCTTTGTGAGTTGTGGTTGGTAGAGTCTGAGACCGGATGGGAAGTGTTATCTGGGAGCTGCACCGTAAAAGAGTGTGAACTCTTGCTAACTTGGAATCCAAGAACTGAACTCACTAGCCAGAAGAATTTTAAAAAGCCCCTTTGTTTCCGACTGAATCAAAGTTGGACTGTTCATACCAAAACTTAAACAATCTTACTTTTCTGTTTTTAAACTCGACTCACTCACATAAACTTGTTTTTTCACTCTAGGTGGTAAGAGTAATCGCAGTGCAGAAGTTTTCCTATAGACAGTAGTAAAGATGTTCAGTTGAACTGACATATTAAATTTGGCTTTTTCTTTTGAAAAACCTAGGTGCGGGTTTGCATCTTCTTGTGACTGAGCTCTTTATCCTTCTGAAGTGGAGCAAAACTGGTTTACATAGCCTTCATGTGGGTGCTATTTTTACTTCCAGCAGTTACTGCTGCCTTTGTGCACAGACGAGACTTGCGAGTCCCTTTTTGTACTCGACTTTTCTTCTTAGTGTTGGCTTTCAGGCTTGTATGCTTCTGATTGCGGGGGTATTGAGTGTGCTCGAGACCGAAATCCCATTGAGACCTACGGCTCTCTGGTTTTGTTTTTGAAAATAATAAATGCCCCACAAGCTGGTTGCTGTGTGCAAATGTAAACGATGGTGTCTGTTGTTCATGGTACTATATGGTATTTATTTCTGTAAATAGAGTGCAACTATTCATTGTTTCTCCTCTTCCTTGAGCCATAATAGATGAAATTTTTTGTCCTGTGATCACTAAAAAGACCACTTCTTCCCATATGTACGTGTGGGTACATATTAAATCCCATACATGTAAAAAATAGCTGAGGGGGTAAAAAAAAATAAGCAACCTAGGCTCCTTGGCATTGCAGTGGAATCAAGTGAAAATTGGAGTTAGAAAGAAGATTTTTTTTTTTTTTTTTAATGCGCATGGATCAGGTTACAGGAGTGCCTAAATATACTGTGGGAAGACGTTTGTGGGTTTTTAGCTGGACTAGGAGGAATCCGATGAAATACAACCGCGGAAATATACTTGTAGTATCTGTCCCGAGTACTTTGTGCCTTGTCAGCAATGCAGGAAGGCATTTTTATTAGGGCTTCCCGCATGGACCTATGAACTTTCCTTCTTAATGTTTTCTGATAGATGGAACATAGTGCCATCATCTCAGGTAAGTGTTGACTCTCTAGGATTTTCGGGTGCAAAAATACCGCTGCCGTCCTGGATGTGAAACTAATCTATTGAAGGTGGAAATGGATGGGAAGAGCCCCGTTTAACATTTCTCTCGGCAAAGAGTTTTAGAAGTTCTACTATAGGGATCTGGTTCTGGAGAACAGTGGAAGATCTCTCTGTGGAAGGTAGTTACAGGGTACGCTGTTCATTCCCCTTTGTATTAAAAGGGTAGCGTCGATGCAAAGTACAGGTACGGAGTTGGAAATAAGCACAAAAAGCTGGGGTACACCGTACCTCTTGCAGAGAAAACACCAGGGAAATCATTAGAGCGTATAATTAACAAACTGTTAGATCAGCGTAGATCTTAGTGGTCGTTATGCCCTTCATCTCATGTAATGCATCACGTTAGTTTTACCTTACCTCCATTAAGTTTCTTCCCTATGTGCATAAAGGCAATAACACAAAATCAAGCTGGTTTTGGGCACAGTTCGGGCCTAAGCAAGTCAGGAGACTTGTTTAACTCTCAGTGCCTGGTTAGATGTTTTCCTGTACTTGATGAGGTCCTGAAGTTCACAGTGATTTGTGCCAATTCCTGGTGAATCATCCGTGGGCTGTGCTGACGCCGTAATATATCCCATAACGCCGATAAGGTGTTCGTGTCACCAAGATGGTTGTGATCCTCCTTAGGAAACTGCCGCTGTAAAGGCCGACCTTGAAACAGTGAAGAAGAATTGCCCTGTTGACCCTGTGACTTGCAGCAGACGTTGCCGTACCTGGATGGACCAGGCAAAACCCAACTCTGCTGCCCTGCTCTTCATTCTACATGCCGGTGGTTCAGACCTCATCTTCCCAGCGTGGGCAGGTCTGGGCTGAAACGGCTCTTACAGCAGGCGGGAGGTCTTGTAATACTTCTCTGAAACCAGGTAGATGCTGGTGAGTTCTTTTCCCAGCTTTGCCGTGTGGCAAGTCTTCAGACAGTGATAATGGCTTGATCTCTAGACATCTGCTTTCCTTCCACTTGCACAATTTCTTTTTTTGGTCCCTTCAAACGTAAAGGTTTCGGAGGCTGATGTTGGAATACATGGACTTGCTGTGTTTCTCCCAAGTTGATGGGGCAATTTGTGTTGGATGCACGTGCTTCCCCCCTTCTCCTTCCCTGCTTCTCCCTGCCCCCCTTTCTATTAAGTAGCAACGAAAAGTTCTTTGGTTGGCTTGCTCCAATATACCGGTAAAAGAATACACTCTAATAATACCCTGAAACCTCCATTTTGAGGTACAGAAGTAGTCTTAGGCTTTGTTTAATCTGCAGTCTTTGCTAGCATATTTAAAACCTCGATTATTCTGGAGGACAATAGAGCATGGTGTATGTTAGGATGTTACCAAAAAAACCCTAACAGAACAAACACACGCGAAAATCCCCTCAAAAGACAAGTTAAAGAATTGCTGTAGTGTCTTGATGGGAAAGGACTAAGAGAAAGACCCAGCCATATTGCTGTGTTGTACATTACGAGAGTCATCTGAAGTATCCCGAGGAGAAACAAGAAATACCATTGAATTCTTTTGAAATAATTACTTTGTTGGTTTTATTTTTGTAGTGTTGGCTGACCAAAATGTATGGTACAGTTCTTCATCTCTTTCTAAGAGGAGGGGGGTGGGAAGGGTTCATCTGGAAAAGAAATGTTCTGGAAGCAGAGGGAGATGTCTTTGCCCCTATTATTTCCACTCTTCACCTTTTTTTTTTTTTTTTTTTTTTTTTTCTTAAGCTATACCTACCAGATTCTCAGGAATACAAGTTAATAATTTATATTTGTACAGTAACGTAGAAATTTTTTTATATCGTTTTGCTGCTGCGTGAGGATCCTGTTGCTTTCCCATGGCAGTACACTGATTCTTTCCCCAGGTCTCCTTAACTGCTCTGCTGGATCCCTTCTTCCCTCCCTTCCCCAGGTACGTGATGGAGAACTTGTACTTACATTGACGGCGACCTTTCTCTGTCCTTACCCCTGGAGTTTTGGACTCCTTGCCCTGCGTGTTCCTACTTTCCCATCCTCCCCCGTCCTTGATGTCCCAGCATCTTGCTTGCTTCCTCCGACCTAAACAGCTCGCTCTGCTTTGTCTTTCTGATTCTTTGCTTCCTCTCCTGTCCCTCTGTGCCAGATTCTCAGCTGCCTTTCCAACCTTTTTTTTTTTTTTCTTTTCTTTGCACTCTGCTCGATCTCTTTCCTTTCTGTTGTCTCCCAGATTCCTCCTTCTGCTCTTGCCCTTCCTGCGGGATGAGCCAGCCTGGTGGGATGTGCTGGAGGAGCAGGCTGTGTACTATTAAGCTCCTGGTGGTTTTCCACAATATTGAGATCTCTGTAGCCTTTCTTGGCAGATGTGGCTGTTTTCCCACAGAACAGCAATTTCGATCTGTCAGCGTGCTTCTCGCCACTTGTGCTCTACAAGACAAGTTAAAAAGCTGCAACCTTCAGTCTCAAAAGGAAGGGCTTTGTGTAAGGCTGGTGGTAGAGTGTGGCTCTTGACTTGCTTAAATAATTCCTTCTCCTGTGTTGGATCCTAAGTGCCTTCTGTTGAATATTTAGTCTGTCTGATTTGATTGGAAAAAAACATAGTATGTGGTCACCAGTGTCCATAGAGTGACTTAAAAATGTAGTTTGTGGGTTTTTTTTCTAAACCTCGACCATTTTTATTCTCCTTAGGAGTGAACACTTGAAGGCTTTTTCAACTCAAGCTGTAATGTGTAGTGTATCATTTGCTACACGTCAAAACCTATACTTCACCAAAGAGTAGGCTTTCTGGCAAATTGCTTTGATAGAAGAAAATAACACGTTCTGCGTGATGCATTTCAATAGCTTCTCTAATGAAAGGCATCATATAAAAATAAAATGCTTTCCGTTCTATAGACCAGTCTGTAGTTGATGCAGTGTTGTTTCCTATCCCTGTACTTTAGGGGCCAGTACATCCTGTCGACTTAATTTCTCTGTCCATGGAATTTGAAGTACAAAACTGGATCTCTGCGTATTTTTTTTTTCTCACTGGTAAAAAAATAGAAATATCTTATGAACCTTTGAATGCAGTATTATGTTTTGGCTTTTATATTAAATCACTGGCATTCTTTGCATTGGTGGGTGGTGGAAATAGCTTCTAACTCTTGTTTTGCTTCTGTTTTGTCTTGCTGCTGCTCAGTTGTTGTACTCAAAGGATAAAGGCCACTTTCCCGTGAGACTTTTTACAGATGATGTTTATGTGAAAACTCCAATGGCAAAAAAAATAAATCAGAATTTTATGTATGCACTTTCTTCTTCTGGGAATGATTTTTATATGGTGTTTGTAAACCTAATCTGATACAACTCTGAGTCATTTCACTGCTCTGTCTGAGCTTACAGATTTCTTCTTGGTGTTAGATGCCAAAGCTTCTCTGTCAAGTTGATTGATGCGAGACCCCTTCCCCAAGAGACCTGGTTAAACCCTGGCCTCCTCCCGTGCCCCACTTTCTGTGTTAGAGAAGCCGATGGTGTGCTGCTGCTCGGCGTTCGGCTCCGGCGGTGTCTGTATCTCTTTCTTATGTGTGGTGTTGAAATTCAGGGTGCTGTTATCATACCAAAATCTTGTGAAAGCTCCTTAAGAAAAAGTCCCTCTCTTCTTCCCATACCACACCTCTTTCTTGGGGTAGGGTTGGGGGGGAACCCTTTTTAGATGAAATGTCACTGTTCTACCATAGTTTCTCCCAGTATGCAACCATAAGCCTGAAAGACGCTTGCTTGGTCGGTGGCCAGTAATCTGCTGTGGAAAGAGATGGTATCGTACTGTACCTCTCTTTGAATTTGTGCTTACGGGTTGTAACTGTCCCTTCTTAAGATGTAAACATCTAGAAGCTTGATTTCCTTTTTTCGGATTTATAGATCTCATTGGGATCACGGAGATGTGGTGGGATTTCTCAGATGGCTGGAGTACTGCAATGGATGACCGCAGGCTCTTTAAGAGGGACAGGCCAGGAAGGCAAGGACGGGGAGTTACCCTTCATGTGAGAGAGCAGCAGGGATATGTGAAGCTTTGCCTTGGGATGGATGATGGGCCAGTTAAGAGCAAGTTGGGATTAGTGGGTGACGTCGTTTTGGGTGCCTGCTGTAGACTGCCTGATCAGGAAGAAGTAGTAGGTGATGCCTTCTTCAGATAAGTGGAAGAAGCCTCACGATTGCAGGCCCAGGTCTTATCACACGGGTCTTGAACTACCCTGACACCTGCCGCACGGACGACACAGCGGGACATAAGCAATCCAGGAGTTTTCTGGAGGGCACTGATGACTTCTGTCAGTCTTGATGACTGATCAAGGAGTCAATGGACAGAGGTGCTCTGTTAGACCTCATACTTCTAAACGAGGAAGTACAGATTGAGATGTGAAGGTCAGGGTTGCTATGGCTGTAGTGACCATGGTCACCTTGGCTGTAGTGACCATGAGATGGTGGGCTTCAGGATCCTGAGAGAAGGGTACGGGGCAAAAAACAGCATCACAACCCTGGGCTTCAGGAAACAGACTTTGGCATGTTCAGGGGTCTGCTTGGAGGTGATTGATAAGAAAGATTTTTATGCTGCCATTCAGAGGGACCTGGACAGGCTGGAGAAATGGGCAGAGAGGAATCTCGTGAAGCTCAGTAAAGAAAAAAGTCCTGCACCTGGGGAGGAATAACCCCATGCTCCAGTACAGACTGGGGGCCAGACAGCTGGAAAGCAGCTTTTCAGAAAAAGGCCCTGGATGGCCTGGTGGACAAGTTGACCGTGAGCCATCAACGCTCCCTCATGGCAAAGAAGGCCAACGGTATCCTGGGCTGCGTTGGGGAAAGCGTTGCCAGCAGGTGATGCTTCTCTGGCCAGCATTGTGCTGGGCTTCCCAGAAGAAGGGAGTCATGGGTGTACTGGACTGGGTCCATGCTGCAAAGGGCCACAGAAGACTATTTAAGGGTTTGGAGTATCTGCCGTGAGAAGAGACGGAAAGAGGTG